GTCTGACACCGAGAGTTGTTTGTGCTACATACACATTTACACGGATCGTGTCCATTATGGTAATCCGACGATGCAATTCGATGCGTTCCAACAACTGCATAAACATTCAGTATGCTATCCATGCAAAATAATGGAGTAAACACGGGGAGAAGAGCGAGTGCGACACGAACGCACTTACCTGGAGTGGGCTTGGATCGATCATGGTGCAGCTTTGTCTATGTTGTTGCTGAAATTTCGGCTGGTACGGTTCGAGCATGCGGATCTTGCCCCATCGATTGAAAAACAGAGCGATGGCAGCCACCCATAGAACCAGGACAAGAACGACAATCAGGACCTCCTCGGCTCGTACCACTACCGCGCCCGGTTCTGCAATTCCTGATTAAATCCTCTCTCGTTTCTTGCAGTAAAGTGTACAAAAACTATACAATTATAAATAACAAATGAAGTTATAAGTTTATGTGAAAGATCAGTGTTTAATGAGTGCACAGCGTGTGCATTATACTCCTATTAATATAGATTAGTATTAAGATTAAAGCTAATCCAACGACCACGATAATGTGACCTAATTTCTCATGTGCATCCTTTGATCTACGAGCCAACTTATACGCGAACGTGTCTGGCTGACTGCGAGAGAGAAAATAAACTCAGGAAATATCGCTCAGGGATACAATTCAATGTTCAGTCATATGTAAACCTTTGTTGGCGGTCGTATAATGCTGTCTAACGATGTTTCATACTACGCTCGTATGGTAAACGATCGAACTGATAAATTGATATCCACCGTCCTATATGGTCGAAATGGGACCGAGGAGAGAACTTTACTTCACAGGCTATCATGTAGAAAATCAAACGGAGAAAAAGGAGTAGACATATTCCATTATATTGTATAATGTTCGCATATTCATTCCTGACATCCATGATGTATGTAGAGTATACATAGTTTGAGATGACGTTCTATACATAATTTATATCTGCTTTAAATCTCCTCTCTTTGTGTCCCCTCTTTGTGAGCAACAAAACTTTTTATACATTTTCAAACTTACATACTCATTAAAGAATTGAAATTTAAATTATTTGCGAAAACACATTACAAAATTTTCGATATTCCTTTTTCTTCATAGTATGTTAAATTGTATCGCAGGTGGTCTACCGCAAATTTAATCATAAGTACGCCAAATTTATGTGAAATTTTACTTTTTCATGTTTTCATTTCTCAAGAAAAATTGATCGACCATCTGTCACCAACAACTTTCCATAAAATCTCTGGAGTGTCGTCAAGTATAAACATTTACAATTTCACGTAAAACTAAAATAAATAGTCGTAAAACGTGCCTAAATTAGAATTAGATTAGCGAAGCTATATATATCGGAAAATTTGCACGTTCTGCACATTATGCAATAAACAATTATTTACTCATTAATGTAATTTCATCTACATGTACATAAGTGATACATCTATGTTTACCGTGAAACCGTCATTTCGTCGTAAACGTGATAGATAGATTTCGTGAGAAATATAAATTTCGTGAGATGTGAAATGATCCTTTCTGAATAATGCTTTGTTAATTGATGAAAATAAAATTGAATCGACGTGCAGAACGAAAGCTCGAAAGATAAGTAAACGTTGAAAAACTCAATTACTCCACGAATCATTTTTTTTCATTTGTTACGATAAAAATAAAGAAAAACGTCACGTCAAAAATTCACACAAACAAACGATATACGAAGAATCGAGCTCTCGGAACCTTTGTAAATTGAAACAATTATTTGTGATGAATGTTTCAGAGATCTCATCACATTTTTAGTTCCGATTATGTTTCTTTTCTATTATTCGAGATATAGCGATACCGACCAGATTAAAATCCGTGCTAAAACTTCATTAAATTTCAAGATAGCGATCATATGTTACTTTTCGTAAATGTTTCTTCAAAAATCCAAATAAACTTATTTTTCCGGTAACATGAAGGAAGAAAAACTAAAAAGACTTCGGAAACCATAAATTCTTATTAAGAAAGAAGAACAAGAAAGACGAGATTAAAAAGAATTTTTATATCTTGCTTAACAAGATTGGTCAGAAAAATATCATGAAATATCAGAAATGAAGGTTATATACAAAATTACTCTCCCAGGATTATATGAAATTGTTAGACTTACCATTGGGAAAGGTCGAATTGAGCTCGGTGGTGGCTTCCAATTCCGATGACATAGAACCGACGATGACAGCATCTGGTGCTTCCTTGAGCTCCACTTCGATCTTTGTCACGTCACCTATAAACAAATATTTTCACTTGTCTCATTAATCATCCGACTGTATAATTAAATATTAATTATAACAGTAATTAAAACTTTTTAATTAAGGTTTTATTATCTGTTATTAGGGAGTTTTTTTGAAATAATAGTGGATCTAGATATGGTAAACGCTAAAGGTTATTCTTTTTGTTAATTTGTTAAGAAGAAGATATCATTTACCGTATCTGGATAAATGGTATTCCCAAAACTCTCTATCTTACTATTTTTTCTTTCGTGTAGAGAAAAAGGAGGTAGTTATGATTACGCAGAGAGTTATATTATAACAGCAGAGGGAATATTATTTTGTATAGTTTGTAGTACATTTTTGGGAGCAACTATCAAAATGATTTTTTCACAATATGGTTAAACGTTACTTACAACATAGCCACTGGTCGTGAGTGTTTATTGTGTTGATAAAGGCTACATTTTAGTTTTGCAGGTAAACAATTTTGCAGATGTTTACTCTTTACGTTGACATAGTTTTCAGAAATATGTTGCTATTAATTTGGTAATCTAGTTTGTGGAGGCCTCAAATATTATACATATTTTTTCAAAATATTAGAAAAGTTATGAAAACATTACAGAATTATGAAAGAATTACAAGATTATTCTAAACGGGATTAAAAATAATTCGAAAAATTTAGCAAGTTTACTATATGAATTAAAGCTGTGCTTTAATAAAAAATAATATTTTTTTAATTTGTGCACTCTAATAGAAATGAAAATATATTATATAATAATGATAGAAATCTCAATTTTTCTGTATATTTAAAGTATTCTAAATGATTTATGTGAAGTTACATTGTGATGTAAAGAATAATTATTCTGTAAATAAACAAAATATTTAATTCTTCTAAATTTTTATAATTAATGCCTGAATGTAACTTATAACGTAAATTATTTTAAATAACTTATAAAAGTTAAAACTTTTGTCATTGCTTTTTAAATTCTAATTTATAATAAAAATAGTAACAAATAAAGTAAATAAACAATCAAAAATATCAATAAAAATAGAATGTTATAAACACAACTTCCATACAGTTCATTTAAAAGTACAAATACTAACATATTTGTAAAAACAGATGCAGACATCCATAAATGATACCTATAATTGAACCTTTGATAACAAATTACATGTTCATATTTCCATATAAAATTATGATAAGAGTTATAATAATAGTGAAATATTCCATATCCTCCTTTCATTTCATAACTACAATCATTGTCCGTCTTAAGTTATTTATAAATTACATTCGTTCTGCACATTCAAAGAGCTTCTATTCATAATATAATTGATATCCCTCTAGGATCAACTTGTATCAAAAGTAATTATGTCACACGAATATCTCTTGAGTTATTTCAATAAAGCAAAATGATATTCCATAACCTCCTTTCTTATTCTATATATAATATATTATAATATACGTGAATATTATATACCGCTTCCATCAGTATCGCTGTGTTTGCTTGGCGAGATCGTAACATGCCGATGTCTTTTGGGTCGATCGTTTCCCTCCACAATGAGATATTCTTTGCTGTGACGGCCTATAATTTAAAATAGATTTGTTTAAGAAAAATGATACATTATAATTAAAATAACTGAAATAAATCTACTTCTTAACTACTTCTTAGTTTGATCTTAAAATTTATTTCTATTAAGACAATCAATTATTTATCAGAAATTCAGGATAAATATCTTTTTATAATTTTATGTGTCACATATATAAAAAGAATTTGAGAATCAGAAATACGGACGCATATAAATATTATTATACATTATACATTTAAAATTATAAGTCTAACTCTATCTTGAAATCTGACTCGAATCATAAGTCTAAAAAGGGTTTAACTTCAGAACTAAAAGATATTTAATTTTAGAATTTAATTTCTTTATTACTTTAGTTGTTTTCGAAAAACATTCATCTCTAAAAAATTGAAAACATGTAATAAAAGAATTTCTCTATATGTCTACTATTTGAATGGATTTATATGAAAAATGTCGCATTGCGTTTAAGAGACAAAAATAAGAAATAGGACAGCGTGCAGAAAAAAAGAGAACGCCAGTGGTGCTGAAAATGTGCCTTTCCGTTCGCGCATTGCTCGTCCTCATGCATTATTTAAAGAATGTGCTCGACTACGTTTGATATATTGGTTACGTATCTTTGGTTCATGTTTTCATCGCAAGCGAAAAGGATTCTGTCGTGACAGAACAACGGCGACATTCGTTTGCACTTTCGCCTATTGCGCGTACAATTTCGATATTTTGGTTTAGTACGGTATTAAATCTTCCCCGATAAAGCAACTTCAAAATCCGTTTAAATTTCGCCTGAGCTTGTTTATCATCTTCCTATCATAAATCGCATAGCGAATGGTTGTTATGCTTCGATTACTAACGCGCGATTAAAAGATCATTAATCGCATAAGCTCGCCGTCTTTCTCGACTCTGAAATTATATGGTCACGCTTAAGTTTCGCGAATATTTTTCAAGCTTATGCCTTTAATAATAAAAAAGTTTATCGACCGCTATTGCAGCTCTGTAAATAATGTACGCGACTAATATAACTCGCGTACTATGATATGTCTATTAAGGGAATTGCCATAAGGACTTACGATTGGCCGTATGAAGGGGATTAAAACGTTACAGTCGCCATTCACAAATAATGATCGCTGAAATAAGTTCCGCGATAAAGTTAAAGAGTTTACTTCGATTTCGTGACACAATTCTAGATAGATATCCCATAACGATCGCTACTTGCCAGGAAAAAAAAGCTTCTCTGAGTCTCATATTTCAGAGCGGAGAATCGTTTACTGTTAAAAGCCTGGTGGACAGCGAACAAGGGGTGAGAAAGTTGTGTCGAATGCGGGGATGCGCGTAAAGAGCACGTGAGTAATTACACGTCAAGAATTTTTCTCTGTCTTTCTCTCTCTCTCTCTCTCTCTCTCTCTCTCTCTCTCGCTCTTTTTCTATCATTTTCTTGTGTTTTATTCTCCCGCAGGCGATGGCGATAATGGCGGAAGAAAAGATAATCGCAACGCTTAAATGAAGCGCGAGATTTAATGGAGCTATAAAGTAGCCTTTTTTGTTTTCTTCGCAAAAAATCGACCTTGAAGTGATAAAATATACGAGCAATAAAAAAAAACTTGAGAAATCAATGCGCATACATTTTAATAAGTTTAATTATATCTTTATACTACATGCTACGCATAAAATTCGCTGCAGTGCAAATATATAACTTACGCAATTTTATTTCCGTAACATTATTTTCAGACCACAATTATGATGTAATTTTTGTTCGCCTACTTGAATATTACTTATTGATTGAAAATAACCAGCGTTATTAGATAAATTTATTATGTTCTGAAGCCACCTTGATTTCATTATGTAAAGTCGGCTGACATGACGTGAGTCGGTTATATAACATAGGTATAATAAAGCAATACCGGTGCCCAAGGAGGAATGTATACACAAAGATAATTCACTTTGTGTCGAAACAAAGCTGTCTTTATTATTTTCAACATATTGACTATAATAATACGTATATGTCATAAAATGAATTGTCAACTGTCGCTGCAATTGTCTGCACAAAAATGATTATATAAAAGAAAGTTAATGGTATTGACATCGAGGTCTCTTAATAGGTCTCCTATTTATTTCTCGTAAATTAAACATTACATTTTATATAAACATTACATTTTGGATTACTTATTATTATTTATTATTATTTTATTAATATTGATAAAAACAGAATTTATTTAGATAATTAGAGAAGAAAAAAATTTATATATTTATGTTACTTGTTTCTGTTCAAAATCAGCTAAAAATTAGCGAATTTTACAAATGCAAAAATAAAATTCTTACAATTTTTATTTACACTTTGTGTGATTAAAATAATAATGGATATATTATAATATTAGAGCGTTTTACATATTCCTAACTATTTTTATTTATATTTTTCTCTTTCTTATTTTTTTTTTATAGTTTTAAACATAAAATTAGAATGTAAAACGACACTTATGATCTGTAAGACAGACTATAAATTAACTTAATAATATGTATATAGTATCACGTTATTAAATAAATAATCTTATCAAATCTGAAGGCGTTTCTTGTATTTAAAGTCTTTAAAAAACTTTCACATTACATATTTATGTTGTACGGAATAGCACAAAGTATGCACATATACAAGTAATAAAAACATTTTATATTAAAGAGTGAAAGAATTCTAGAAATTTTTATATACATTAACGTATAGACATTTTACACAAATAATTCCTGTAAACGAAAAAGAATAAGAATAAGCAGCATTAAGGAGATCCTATTTAAATTCAAAAATTCTTTTCCAGGATTAAAGTATATGCATAATACGTGTCTGTGAGATGGAGTTTATGCCGAGAAAACAACAAAAAGTTTTTTTTTTTAATTTCAATTTCGAAATTTTTTGTCGTTCTCAGTATAAACTCAGTATAACTCCATCTCATAGACTTTAAAAGAGAAAAAAGTAATTGTTATATAAAAATTACGATTTAAGACGGCTAAGACCTCCTTAAGGTCTACTATCTACTTCATTTTATAGCCAATTTTAAGATCAGTTCATTTTATAGCCAATTTTAAGATCAGTTACTCTCTCTTTACAAAAAAAATTAATTATTACAAAATTCTATACTGTATTATAAGAACTTCTATATCATTGATAAAAGATAATTTTTAATTTGTATTTGTTTTTCCTAAATTTTGTTTTTAGCTTTTATTTAAGAAATCTAAAAGCAAAGTAATATAACTGTCATTAAGTAGATGACCTCTAATAGCTTACATAAATTTTTATTATTACAAAATTAATTTAATGCACTTCATGTTAATCAATTTCTAACTGTTCTAGTAGTAACATTCTAGTAGCGTTATTCTCTCAACTCAAAACTTTTTTAAAAAATATGTATATATATATATAAAACAATGCATATAAGTACATATATAAATAATTATTTCTGGGAGGATCTTCTTATTGTATTTATTGTAACTTTTATCACAAAAAGCACTGCACATTGGAATGCTTCAGGAAACCTTAGGATCGCAGAACATGAAATGCAGGAATGTTAAAATCTTGTAGCATCAGATGAAGCTTTTAAAGCTTTTATTCTATTTTATAAACAACAAAACGAAAATTTATAAATAAAAAATAATTATTATTTTATTGAAATTAAATGAGAAAATGCGAATGTTTTCTGGAAATTTAGAACTTTCTTAAAGAATAATAATAGAAACTGAAAATCGCTAATATTTTTAAAACTTCTTACAATTTCTAATCTATAAAATTTGTCATAAAAGAAGAAATATATTTTATGAGACTTATACATTCCTAATATTTATTTGCGTTACATTTCAAAATAAAAATCATATATAATATGTATATATGTATAATATACTATAAGTACACAATAGTTTTATATAAAAATAACGAGTATTTACATAATATTTTTATTTTGTGTTTTAATATATTAAAATATATATTTCATCATATTTAGACAT